GTTTTCGTGCCTGAATCTTAGGGCAGGTCGAAACAAATGAGGGCCTAAAAATAGCCCAGGGCCTAAGAATAGCCCTCCGTTTCAGGCTGGAAAAACTCTGGGTCTGAAAGACCCAGAAATAGGCTGAAACGGAGTAGGGCCTGCAGACCCTCGTTTTTCAGTTTTCAGGCTGAAACGACCGGGGCCTGTAGATCCTAAGTTTTAGGCTTTTAGGCTGAATGTCCGGGACGGGTCCTACAGGGCCCGTGTGGCTACCCAGTATGCCACACCTGGGGTAACCAATGCTGGCGGAATGCTCTCCTGCTCTAATCTTTTGGATGATCCTGTTGTATCAATGGGGCGCTGGGCCCGGTTTCCAGCCAGCAGGTGCAGTTCCCCACCAATAGAAAGCAGCAGCTAGGGACCAGCTACTACTAGAGGCAGCTGCTCTTATCACCCCCTCCAGTAATGGTCGCTGTTTTTAATAATAATAATTAAAAAATAATAATAATAATAAAAAAGAATAGAGATTAGTCATCGAGGTGGCAGCCTCTCCGTGTTGGCCGGATTTTTTTTGTCCAACTGTCGAAGCCTCTCATCAAAGATCTGGAGCTCCAGATCGACGATCTCCCTTTCGCGAGTCGTCTCGTCCAGAATATTTCCATCGGGTGTGCCCAGAAAATCCTCCGGACGCTATTTTCGAAGCAACATGCACATATCAAAAGATTCAAAAGACAAAAAAGACACAACAAACAGATGCAAAGTTAAAATCAGATTTAAAAAAAAAAAAAAAAAAAAAAATAGAAGAAGAAAATAAATGCCCTGATCCTGAAAAGTAAGCTGGAAAAAGGGGACGGGAGCGAAACGGTCACAAGCACAAAAATCAAATCATGGACTATCCACCAACTGGGCTAGCTCAGTTGAGTGAAATAATACAATAGTAAAATACAGTTTAAATACTACAATTCGATAATAAAAAAAAGTTAAAAAAAAAACAAATCAGGGCTTATATTATTATACACGAAAGATTATACACCAAGTACAGACCTGAGTTCGATCAGGGATTATTATTTCAAGAAGCAGATGAGTAAAATTATACTAAAATAAAATTTAATACAATTGTTAAAAAGTAATAAAAACAAAAAGCAAATCAGGGATTATACGATCAGGGATTCTAAGATCGAGAACTGACAAAATTAATAGCTAACCAGGCCAAGGCAAAAAGGGGAAAAAAAAAAAAAAAAAAAAAAACTTATGGCAAAAAAAGTCGAAAAAAGTAACAGCTGGTTGGGGGTAGGGAGGGGATCAGACTGTGCAACAGAGGGGTTATTGAAAGATAAAGTGACCCCGCCCACACAACCCCCCCTTACCCACCCACGCAACTGGTGGGGGGGAAATCAGACTACGCAACACAGGGGTTATTGACGGATAGAGAGACCCTACCCGTCAATTCCCCCCCCCCTTCCCCCCCCCCGCCGCGGATCCTCCTCCCCCCCCAGTGGTCAAATATTCAATCCGATTGGCAATTGGCACAAAATTAGAAGCTCAACGTGCAGCATAAAGGCTTTCATTTTTTTTCTTTTTTTTGGTTGTCTTTTTTTTGTTTGCCTTTTTTTTTTCCTTTTTTATCTGAGTATAACGCTCTTCTGGCAAGGCACTGCGGCGGCTATTTTTCAGTGTACGGTCTCATTTCCCAGGCCTGCTTCTACAGTCTCAGCAGGAGAAAGACCAACGCCCGGAGCTTCAATTTTCATACTCTTATCAGTAACTTTTACTAAATTCTGTTTTTTTAACTTTTTTTTTTTTAGAG